TTTTCAATAAATAACAGAAGAACTCAAACAGAGAGGTTTCAAATATCAAGTCCTGATGTAATCTCTGCACACTTATACATTAAATGAAAGTTTTGGTTTAATAATTTTGTTTCCAGATAATTACGTGGAGGACGACCCCGTGCCGTGTGCGTTCGCTGGTCACGGTCGTCAGTGTCTCATTAACGGCACAGAGTGTCGGGGGAGGTGGGACGGTCCAAACGGAGGAATCACCAACTTCGACAACTTCTTCTTCGCCATGCTGACTGTGTTCCAGTGCATCACCATGGAGGGCTGGACCGACGTCCTCTACTGGGTAAAAAATAAAATCTGAGATGGATTAGGACTTCTCACTTTCAGCAGGTGTATGTGAGTAATAAGAGTCGTTTCCCGTCCTGTGCGTGTAGATGAACGACGCCATCGGGTTCGAGCTGCCCTGGGTTTATTTTGTCAGCTTGGTGATCTTTGGATCGTTCTTCGTTCTCAACCTGGTTCTGGGAGTCCTCAGCGGGTTCGTCTCAAACACTTTAACACTCTCTTAAAACCACAGACTGAATAAAACATGGACGTGGTCTTTGTGATGTCATCATTTGTGAATAGGAGATATGATGATACGTTCCATTTACCTCGGAACTCAGAGTTGGGAGTGACGTTCCATCTGAGTTAACAGTGTTCCAGTTACGAGTTGGTAAAAAGTCGAATAAACAACATGGACGCCTCCAGCCGTAACTTCGTTTTGTTAGCTTATACCTGACGATAACATCATACTACGTGATAGTCTGCATGCAAAAAAAACATGTCAACATGTCCACGGATACAACTTGTAGGATATTGTCGGTGTGATTGACTTGAAAAAATAAGTCTAAACTGCAAATAAACACAACAGTCACAGCTTAAACGTTACTGTTGATGCGCGTAGGGGCCATGTTGGATTTTAACTCAGGCTACCGTAGGTTCTCCGAATTCCCATGTCGTAATTCCAACTTCGGGGGGGGGGGGCGTTCCTGACTCAGAAGTCAGAATTTCCAACTCCCGAGATCAAATGGAACGCACCATGAAGCCCTACAACGGTTCATTTCTTCCTTGGTCTTGGTCTTGACTCGGTCTCAGAGCACTCTGGTCTCGGGTATGTCTTGGTCTCGGTTAGTGTGGTCTTGACTACAACACTAGTACAAAGACATTTACAAGGCAACACAAAAGTACAAAGTCACCATAGCAACCTGAAGATGACAGTTAAGAAACTCAACAAATAAAAATACTGAATAAATCATGACATTTATTCTCTGATGGAAGCTGTTCCATTTGGATTTGAGACAAAAACGTTGGTGTCATCTGCAAAAAATCTACAGAAATTAATTGTTATTCAAACAAACACATTTAGAGTTTACAGCTTTGAGGTTTAAAAAAGCTGTGTGTACACTGTGTGATTGTTGTGTTATTGTTGCAGAGAGTTCAGTAAGGAGAGGGAGAAGGCGAAAGCTCGCGGAGACTTCCAGAAGCTGCGGGAGAAGCAGCAGATGGAGGAGGATCTGTGCGGGTACATGGACTGGATCACTCAGGCTGAGGACATGGACGAGCTGGACGAGGACGGAAACCCACGTAAGACCCCGTGTGTGTGTGTGTGTGTGTGTGTGTGTGTGTGTGTGTGTGTGTGTGTGTGTGCGTGTGTCTTGTGTCTTTTGTTGATTGATTCCTCGACATTTCCCCAACATTTTAAATCAGAGCTACAAACAATCCCTCATTTGTCCTGCGTTCATTAAAAACTCATTCAGCGGTAATGAGTTAATGGACGCCAATTAATGAAGCCAATTAAAACTCGTTAGTGAGTCGAGGAGGTTAATGAGGCAGACAGTCATCAGAGGAGCTGCACATCTCTGCTCTGACATCTTTACTAACCAGAGTAGCTCTGTCCCAGACTAAGGACTTACACAGTCCAACCTGATTGGTCAGATCTAGCCCATCGTCGACTGTTCTTGTGTCATAGATCTACACTCTCTTTTGAGTTTAACCACGTCATTCAAGTCGTTAAAGTCGTTCTATACTTGACATTACAATTTATTCTATGATAGGACATTATCTCACTCATTAAAGGAAGAATATGCGACTTTTTGAACCAGTAGATGTCGCCCTTGAGCTCCAGCATGAAACCAAAACAAACTTCTGTTAGGCCACACCTCCTCCATCCTCCAGAGACACACCTCCAACCCCACCGCACAAAAGAGTTATCAATTAGAACGCACCATAATTAAGCGCTAAGTGCAAGCGGCGGACAAAATTGTACTTTGCTCGAACTGCATTGTTGTGTTAGCATGCTAATGTTAGTGCTCTTTAGTTAGCTCGTAGCTTCACATTGTTGTGTTAGCATGCTAATGTTAGTGCTCTTTAGTTAGCTCGTAGCTTCACATTGTTGTGTTAGCATGCTAATGTTAGCGCTCTTTAGTTAGCTCGTAGCTTCACATTTCATGTAAACTGACACAGAATGAGCGTGATCTAAAAACTCTTACTAACATCCAAATAATCAGTGAGTATGTTCTTCTTCTTCTCTCTAGTTCTTGACTAAAACAGCTTTTATACACAAGGGGAGGAGCCGGCCGTCCCGTCCATGTAAACACGGCTCTGACAACAACACAGCCAGCAGGACTCGAGCTTCTCCCTCATTGTAGACAGTCAGGACTCAGAGACACATTTACACAGGACAGACTTTATGATTTATTTATGAGTAACATGTCGCACATTCATCCTTTAAGACGGCATTAAGGTGACCCTTTTTTGCAGTTGACCTTAATGGCCAACGTTTTTTTGTAATACGTTTACCAGATTGTGTTTCATCCTTTCTGCAAATGTAATACGAAATGTGTCATTGCTCTTATGCTCTCTCTCTCTCTCTCTCTCTCACTCTGTCAGGTCCGTCTCTGGGCGATCTGTCTGATAAGAAGAGAGGGAAGTTTGGATGGTTCAGTCACTCCAATGAAACCCACGGTGAAGCCCACTTGTTCTTTATTTGAACACACTTTACATCAGCTCTGAGCGTTGTGGGCGGGCGTGCGTTTCAGTCTAAATGTAGAGCTCCTCTCTCTCTCTCTCTCTCTCTCGCTCTCTCTGTCCTGTTAAATATCTGGGTCTCTGTCTGCGCTCACATTGTTCTGACCCTGATTCTCATCATGAGCTGCTTCTCTCTCTGTCGCTGCGTTAGAGCTTAACTGACACTCACATATATTTGTTTGTATATTTGTATCATGTTAACATCCAGAAACATTGAGTCAAAACATCGACGCAACTGAAACAGAGAAAAGTAAAGTGTGTGACATGTGGTGTATCAGGACTGTTTGTTGTTTTCACACAAACGACTGTCAGAGTAAGTTTGGGTCATTATCATATCCGCTGATGATTCTGTGATAGTCAGCGTCCTGCGGGGGCCACGGGATGCGCCGCGGTCCTGATCTGGACTATTTTATCAAACGGTGCCATGACCCCAACACACACCTAATTCCTCTGAGACGTTGACTTTCCTAGAATCCCTCCTATCACAGAATGAACGTTCATTAACAGCTGGAGAGACAGTGAGTCAGTTTACATACTTGGGATCCAGACTTGATGACAAACTGACCTTTGATGCTAACGCTGACGCCCTCTGCAGAAAATAGGCCAATCAGAGGCGGGTCTTCTTGAGAAAGCTGAGGAGTTTTGAAGTTGACAAATGAGATGATTCATCTTTTACTGAGTCCATTTTAACTTTGATGATCTGTTGGTTTGGCAAACTCGGCATCGTTACCAAAAACAGGCGGGGAAATGTAGATTGTTGGCATTGACTTGAATGATTTCGGCCATGTTTTTAAGTAGGAGCAACTCAGAAGGCGAAGACCCTCAACACCCTCTGCAGTGAGTTTAGACTTCTACCGACAGGGAGGAGGTTCACTTACGCTAACAGGACCAAACAACAGAAGTGAGGTCGTTAGATGTTTAAATTAAACGTGGACAAAGTTTCCGATCATGAGGTCAGCGTATGTCAGAGTAAATCCCAGGATGAGTCTGCAGAGGGCGCTAAACGTCTTGTTCTGCAAATCACGGCATAGTTCCCCAATATGAAACTCTTACATAGGCTCTATTCTCCCAGCACTGGAGAGCAGCCTCCTCCTGGCAGCCCTGCAGCGTTCTGCTCCTTGAAGGCTTCCAGAGAGCCGGCCAATCAGAAGAAAGTGGGCACATGGGCGGGGTGGCCTTAAAGAGACAGCAGGCCTGGTACTGATCCTAGCTAACAGGTCGTCAGACTGGGACCTGGTACTGATCCTAGTTAACAGGTCATCAGACTGGGACCTGGTACTGATCCTAGCTAACAGGTCGTCAGACTGGGACCTGGTACTGATCCTAGCTAACAGGTCATCAGACTGGGACCTGGTACTGATCCTAGCTAACAGGTCATCAGACTGGGACCTGGTACTGATCCTAGCTAACAGGTCGTCAGACTGGGACCTGGTACTGATCCTAGCTAACAGGTCATCAGACTGGGACCTGGTACTGATCCTAGTTAACAGGTCATCAGACTGGGACCTGGTACTGATCCTGAACCTAGCTGATTCTGGAATGGTAAAGTCAGGTGAAGTGAAATCTTTTTGTGTTTCTGTCTGTCAGCGAGTCTTCCTGCTAGTGAAACGGCCTCTGAAAACACAGTGAACATCGACGAGGAGCACACCAACTGCTGCCAGGCCTGCTGGTAACACACACACACACACACACACACACACACACACACACACACACACACACACACACACACACACACACACACACACACACACACACACACACACACACAGTGTGTTTGCTTCTTAAATAAATAACTTCAGTCTCGTTTCAGCTCTCAGATGATGAAAATCGGCTGCTGGTGAGTTCACTGACAGTCAGACAAAGTAGCTTTCTTCCCTGTCACATTCATCCCTGAGTAACATCGTTCTCTCTCCTCTCGACTAGTCGCACTCTGTCTCGATGGAACAGAGTCTGTCGCAGGAACTGTCGCACCGCCGTCAAATCCGTGACCTTCTATTGGCTGGTTCTGCTGCTCGTCTTCCTCAACACCTCCCTCAGCGCCTCGGAACACTACAACCAACCGGACTGGCTCACACAAGTCCAAGGTAACACACACACACACACACACACACACACACACACACCCACACACACACACACACACATCCACACACACACACACACACACACACACACACACAGACACACACACACACACACACATCCACACACACATGCACACACATCCACACACACACACACACACACACACACACATCCACACACACACATCCACACACACATACACACACATCCACACACACACACACACACACACACACACAGACACAGACAGACACACACACACACACACACACACACACACACACACACACACACACACACACACACACACACACACACACACACACACACACACAGACACAGACACACACACACACACACACACACACACACACACACACACACACACACAGACACACAGACACACACACAGACACACACACACAGACACACACACAGACACACACACAGACACACACACACAGACACAGACAGACACACACACACACACACACACACAGACACACACACACACTGGTCTCATCATGACTCATTCATTCATTAAAAATGAATCCAGATGAAATGTTTGTCTCTCTGTGTTCGTCTGCAGACATCGCCAACAAGGTGCTGCTGTCTCTGTTCACGGTGGAGATGTTGTTGAAGATGTACAGTCTCGGTCTGGCTCATTACTTCGTGGCGTTCTTTAACCGCTTCGACTGCTTCGTGGTGTGCGGCGGCATCGTGGAGACCATCCTGGTGGAGCTGGAGATCATGCCTCCTCTGGGGATCTCTGTGCTGCGCTGCGTCCGCCTGCTCAGGATCTTCAAGGTGACCCGGTGAGTAAACACACCTGAGACGCGTTAAACACAGCTCATCACCGGTCAGTCCCGCCTCTCTGATGATGTCACTGTGTCTCTGCTCAGCCATTGGACGGCTCTGTCCAACCTGGTGGCGTCGTTGCTGAACTCCATGAAGTCCATCGCCTCCCTGCTGCTGCTGCTCTTCCTCTTCCTCATCATCTTCGCTCTGCTCGGCATGCAGCTGTTCGGAGGGAAGTTCAACTTCGATGAGACGCAGACCAAACGCAGCACCTTCGACGCCTTCCCGCAGGCGCTGCTCACCTGCTTCCAGGTAATTGGCTGAAATTGTTCTGGTATTACAGTGATGTCCTCCTCTTCCTGGTTTCATCCTTCATGTTCCTGTTTCTATCTTTGTGTCCTACTAGAATCTCCCTTGAGGCTTGCAAAATTTTAGATGCGTCAACGCTTTCCTGAACCACATTTTATTTTTTTTCAACTCAAATCTCTGCAATTTTTATTGTCAATAGTTTTAAAAAGATCCAAAGCTTTAAAAAAAATGAAGGATCTTCAGTCATATTTTTGACCAAGAGAGAGAGAGAGAGAACTTAAGTTTCATAATGTAGACAGTGTGCAGGAGTTTACCTTCAATTTCTGTTTAAAGAAATCAATAAACTACAGAATATTGGGTGTCTAGGACTTCCTTTTTAGTTGCCATGGTAACGAACAGGTATCAAATTGTTTGTTTTTTGCTAGAATTATATGAACGGGACGTGTTCTGAGGGATGTTACTTTGTGTTTTTTTTTGTCTATCCGTTTTCTCATGAGCTCTCGGCCAATCAGCTGCAGCCGCGAGCTCTTTCTGAAAAGTTCATCTCCATGTCTGTCTTTTGTGTATTTTGGGACAGTGGAAGTGATCAAGCGTTGGTATCTTCCTCCGCATGGTGACGTGTTTCTGCTCGTATTCTCGTGTTGTGTCATCTAAATCGCACAGATATGTTGCCAACGTTGCCAAAACAAAAAGTGATTTTATAATTAAAAACAATTAATCACCCAATGTCTGGTGTCTAGGACTTTTGTGTTGCCATGGAAACAAACAGGTATCAACATTGTTTGATTTTGTTAGGATTACATTGAAGTTTATAAACCTGGCATCATGAAATTCTTAATCTCGCCCGTATCGGTGCAGATCCTGACTGGAGAGGACTGGAACATGGTGATGTATGACGGCATCATGGCGTACGGAGGCCCCGTGTTCCCTGGGATGATCGTCTGCGTGTACTTCGTCATCCTCTTCATCTGCGGTAACTGTATCCTTCATCACACCCGCCTCAGCTGGAGGGCGGGGGTCAGAGAAGAGGAGGGACTCAGAGAGTGAAGGAGAAGTCCTGATATCACATCCTGGGAGTACGGTGGCCTTGAGGTGTCAGAGGAATGTTTTTACAAATCACAGAATGCAATAAAAGCTTCAGCTCGAAAGCAAAAATATCAGTCAGGATAACAGATGACATAAACCCCAGACCAGAGCCTACAGGCCGCAATATCTGTTGTGCCCTTTTGCAGCGCATTATGAATTGGATTTGTAGCTTTTTGCATTGGTTTTGTGGCATTTTGCAGCATTTCTAATTGGTTTTTGAACTTTTTGCATTGGTATTTGTAGCTTTTTGCAGCATTTTACATTCATTGTGTGGCATTTTACATTTGTTTTTGTGGCTGTGTGTCTTTGTTTTATGGCTTTTTTGCATTCGTTTTCTGGATATGCATTCTTTTGACATCTCTTGGCCAACGCATGAAATTAGCCTGTTACAAGATAGCTAAAGTTTAATGCTACAGTAAAAGTAAAAACATAAAGATTAGACATGAATCATCAGCCCCCAGTCAATCAAGGAAAACATGCAACATTCAGGGAGTTTGTCGCTCCATATGTGGGTACAGACGTGAACAATCTTTTGGAGGTTGGCTCCATTTAAAAGTGTTAATGTTAAATATAAAAGACATGACATACGATCAAACAAAATAGTAACTTAGTAATAGAAGCAGTAATACAATTAACATTACCAATGACAAAGAGAGAAAGAGAAAATATGAGCATCCAAAAAAACGGGAAAATCTAAGTGCTGTGTTCAGTGTTTGCTGTCATTACGAGTTCTTAGCGTGTGTCAGATATCCTGCTGAACGTCTTCTTGGCCATCGCTGTGGACAACCTGGCAGGAGGAGACGGAGACGACAAGAAGAAGGAGTGAGTGAAGGAGGGATGGAGGAGGAGTCGTGTAGAAACTCAAGAAACAAACAAGTTAAGTTAAGGAGAACATTGAGATTTCTTACATCCTGTCTGTCGTATTTCTGCAGGACTAAGCCGGAGGGAGGCGAGGAGGAGGAGGCCGCGCCAGAAGGAGAAGCAGAAGTAGAAGAAGTGAAGGTGAACATGGAGGAGTGATTTGAAGCTCTAACTTAACCTGAGAGTCCATCAGAGTGATGATGTTTGTCTCTGCAGGTGGAGGTGGATGAAGACACCGAGTACGAGGAGGAGGAGGAGCTCCCTGAAGGAGAAGAAGGTCAGTCAGAGTCAAGCTCAAAACTCTTCCAGGGAAATAAATGAAAACAAAACTCACAGGTGGCTGACCATTTTTCCTCTCTTTATTTCTCCTAGTAGACGGAGGAGTCCAGTTAAAGATGGCCGACCTGGCTCCTCCTAAAGAGAAAGTTCTTCCCATCCCAGAAGGCAGTGCGTTCTTCTGCCTCAGCAACACCAACCCGTAAGTCCGACTGCACCTGTCCAACATGTATAACTGTTAGCATTAGCATCAGCATGAGTAGCAGACTGTGTTTGTGAAAAGAAGAATGTTGTTTTAAGGTTTTCTTTGTGCTGAAAACCTCTGGCTAAAGACTAAAGACCTGCAGTCTTTGATAATGTTCCTCACCGTCTTGTTTTGGCCTTAGAGTCAAAGTCCTTCAGGGGCTTCCTTCTCATCTCACTGGTCGATCTTTCTTTGTTTCTGTAAATTACTTTAAGTCAGATTAAGTAGGTAGTCAACATGGAGTTCCACAAGGATCGCTTCTTGGTCCTCTGCTGTTTAATCTCTATACGTGCCCACTGAGGTCAGATATTCAGCAACACATTTCCTTCACTCCTATGCGGATGATACACATTTATAAATGTCTGTTTTCACTAACAATGTCAATCCAGTGACTGACCTCATCCAGTGCATCAGTGATATAAGACATTGGATGGAAAGAAATGTTTGACAGCTAAATGTGAGAATAAAAAAAGAGACGTATTAAGAGGTAGGAATACGAGGATTAAATGCAAAGAGAAGGTGGATATAAATGGTTACACAAGTAAACAAAACAAGTGGACTGAAAAACAGTTAAACCATTAAAATGGCTCTGCGACCCACTTTTGGGTCCCGACCCACCAGTTGGGAACCACTGCACTAGAACATTGGTTCCCCCCTTGGAATCTGGGCTCCCCTAGGGAGGCAGGAAAGATCTCAGGGGGGGCACGAGTTTCTGTCTGCAAAAAACACCGGATGGATAGTTTATTCAAGGTCTGTCGATAAAACTGTGTAAAAAATATGTTTTCCCTCAACTGAAAAATATTGTGCTTTTTAATAATAATAATAATAATAACGATGCATTAGACTTATATAACTTATATAAATATTTTCTGAAGACTCAAAGATGATTAACAAAGAACAACAAAACAAAGAAAGCAAAACAGACGAGATCTAAGAGGAGAACAGAGTCTGTGAGTGGCTGTAGGTGATGAAGAAGAGGTGAGTTTTTAGGGATTTCTTGAAGGTGGAGAGTGGGGGGGGGGTTCAGAGGTCAAGTGTTGGGAACCACTGTGGGCAGCTGTGGTTCAGCGGGTTGAGTCGGTCGCCTCTCAAATGTGTCAGCAGCTCGCAGTTTTTAAGATTCCACAAAGACTGGGGGTCTGGCAGAATCCCCACCTGAAGGACTACAACTAGATTCCTTATGAGATTATTTCCCATCATGCAACTGGTGGACATTTACGACCACAACTTTTAAGGAGAGAGCCGAAAAAGGAGGGGAAACTGGCGGGGCTGCAGAGAGAGCAACAATGCAACGATCGTCAAATAAATCAACAACTTCATCTTAGATCAGCTCGTGGTGCGTTTAGGTGTCCTGCATGGTTTTGATTGGTTCTCATATCGTGTGTGACAAGAGCTTTGAGTTAATAATCTCTGTGACTTTGTGAAGCATGTGATGATTATTTGTGTCTGCATTAAGATGTTTGAAGAGTGTCTCCTCTCTCTGTTTGTGTCTCCAGGATCCGTGTGTTCTGTCACTATCTGATCCACCACCACATCTTCACCAACCTCATCCTCGTCTTCATCATCCTCAGCAGCTGCTCATTGGCTGCAGAGGATCCAATCAGAGCACACTCCTTTAGGAACAACGTGAGTCTGTCTGAAGTAAAGTTTCATCACTGAACGTTAGATCTTTAAAGTTTCCTTAACAGTGAGCTAGCATTGTGGCTAAGCTAACAGGAAGTGAAACAAACAGGTATCGATCATTTGATTTTTCCTTGAGTCATAACAAAGTTTAAAATTCTGGTGTTGTTACATCTCTACTTCTAAGAACCAGGAGAGGTTCAGAGAGATCTCATCATTGTCCTGTCCATGATGAGGGTTATGACGATGATGATGATGTCGGCAGCAGCGGCACACCTCTGTGGTTAGAGCGTGGGGGGCGGGGCTTGAGCAGATTACATGGGAAGAAGTGGGTCAGTGACTAACCCGGTTAAAGAGGGAAACACATGGAGAGAGCAAATCACCAGTTTACTGTCTGATCCTGAGGAAACTCACTGAACACACACACACACACACACACACACACACACACACACACACACACACACACATACACACTGGCCGTGCAGCAGCTGTTCTCATGCAAGACATAGCAATTAGCAGCAGCTGAGGAAAGAAACGACTTCTATCATGCAATCAACACACACATGCACACACACACACACACACACACACACACACACACACACACACATACAAACACAATATGTTAACCCTGTATTAGCCTCTGTTCTGGATCATATTAAACTCATTAGCGCTCTGGTTTAATTATTCTCATTTTGTTATTTTGTTGTTCAGCATTTGCGTCAAAAGTCCAGTTTCTCTTCTAAGTCCATCGTAGACTCGAGACTCGAGGACAGATCCCGACACAGAAACTTTACTAATAATGTATAAAGTGAATTCTACCTGAGAGTGGCCACTCTTCTGTGTGTCGACCGTCTCCCGCCTTCCTCTCTGCTGTGCACCGTGTTGTCACATTAATTTATAAAACACATTTAAAAACAGCAGCTGCACAGCGTACTGCATTAAGAAACAACTCTTGTTTCGGCCTCAGAGGCACAGTCCTTCAGGGGCTTCCTTCTCATCTCACTGGTCGATCTTTCTCTGTTTCCATAAATTACTTTAAGTCAAATTAAGTAGGTAGTCCATATGGAGTTCCACAAGGATCACTTCTTGGTTCTCTGCTGTTTAATCTCTATACGCGCCCACTGAGGTCAGATATTCTGAAACACATTTCCTTCACTCCTATGCTGATGATACACATTTATACATGTCTGTTTCCACCAACAACGTCAATCCAGTGACTGACCTCAAGTCAAGTCACATTAATTTATAAAACACATTTAAAAACAGCAGCTGCACAATGTGATGCATTAAGAAACAAACAAGACAAAACATCAAATAAATCCTGACAGAAACGGCCTCCTCAGGACCACAGGACTCGAATGCTAGCATACAGAAAGATGTGAGGCCTTAAGAGTCAACAGAGGGGGGCATACTGTATGTGATAGAAAGGGGGGGGTCTACAGTTTAGGGGCTTTGACTGCGAAGGTAGGCTAGGTAAATTGTAGAAGAATTGTTGTTTATTTTTTGTGTTTGTGTTTGTTTAGATTCTGGGTTACGCAGACTACGCCTTCACTTCCATCTTCACGGTGGAGATTCTGTTAAAGGTACAAATGATCTTTCACGTCAGACGTATTCTTTCTCTTCTTCTATGGTGTGAATGTTAACCTCTCTCTCTCCCCCCCTCTCTATCTCTCTCTCTCTCCCCCTCTCTCTCTCTCTCTCTCTCTCTCCCTCTCTATCTCTCTCTCTCTCTCTCCCCTCAGATGACTGTCCACGGGGCGTTCCTCCATCAGGGCTCGTTCTGCAGAAACTGGTTTAACTTGTTGGATCTTTTGGTCGTCAGCGTCTCTCTGGTCTCCTTCTTCCTTCAGTCAGTATCAAAAATCTTCTTTTTTTTTTTCATTAGCACACTTCCTGTTCTTCTTCTTCTTCCTTTTGGTGTTCTCTCAGAGTCCTACAGAACTGTAACACCACGTGTTGGTCTGTCCACTACTTAAAATTCCCTGTAGCTGTGAATGTGAGTGTATGTTGATTGACAGGTGAGCAGTTCAGGGTGTAACCCTGCCTCTCGCCCAATAACAGCTGGGATCAGCTCTAACCCCCTGAATGACCCAGAGCGGGAAAACAGCTGTATAAATAATGGATGGATGCTGCTGATAAGAGGAACAAACTACAAACACATAAATGTTCTTAA